TCTTAACTCGCCACAGTTGTGACAGCTTGATTTCCACTTTAAAAAATCAAAGCTAATTTCATTCTCATTTATGCTTGATATACCTGAGGAATGTATTTCACATATCACTCCTTAAAAAACTTGTAGTAACGAAACAATACTGGAAGGATCGCCATTGTGGAGTAAGTTCAAGTTCTGACTTTGGTTCAAATTGTTCTGCTTTGATAGCTGTTGCAGTTTCTTTGAATCCATACAACTTATTAATTAACAGAGTTGATTTCAACGAAACTAGTAGAGCAAACGCAACGATAAACAAACCAAAGTACAATTCGATTGTAACAGAGATGAAATGATCATTGAAAAATCGGTCTCGATTAAATCAAGGTACATACATTTCCCAGAAAGGAATTTCAGTCAGGAATAATTTGCGCCACTACTTCGGATGAGAGAGTGCCTGATGTTGCATGAATAAACAAGTCATCAACGAACAAATCTCGTGAACTGATTAAGTAATCAAACTTTAAGCGAATACTGTGTTTGGTTTGTGACATCGACATTCAAAAGTCTTTTTGAGGCAACGTATCGCCGTCACTTGATGCACTTTGTATCTAGGATTACCACTTCCGGTTTCAGAAGAACTTAGTTTGACAACATCAGCTTAATCCTTCATTTGCTTTTGATAAAAGAAATTTTATAGACCATTTTAAAGAGTCTGTACTTACCATTTCAGATTTTATATGTCAGCCACATGATCAACACCCGCGTCAAAAAGAAGGAAAAGTTGAGGCAAACCAACTCAGAGTCGACCTCAATAACCTCGTTTGCTGTATCCCATCAATCCCACGGGCTTGTAACACTCTAACACAGGCAAGCAATACATGCAAATTGTTCTTTGGCTTTCAATTTGAACAGCGAAATAAATCCTTTATGATCGATTTTCGCATCATTCCATTATATGTCGGACCTGCGTTAAGCGGTCACCTACGGGGAATGGCCATGTAATACAGGTTGACCGTTTAAAAGTGGTTCCACAGATTAGGGGTATCATAAAAAAAAAAAAAGAAAAGAAAAGACAAACAACGCCACCTTATGTCATAGTTGGCCAATTTTATGTACAGAGTCCCGCTCGAAAATACTCGTTACTTTGATTTGAAAGAGAAACATGGATAAAAATTACCTGAGAGTTTATTCTTAGTTTTATTTGAGTTTTCGTTGACCTCTTAAGAACGAGTCTCTGTAAGAATCAAACATCTTGGGAAATGAAAATTTTCAAGCCCGCTTCAAATTTTACATACAGTTTGGCACTCAGGGGGGTGCACAAAATGCCCTTTTTAAAGGTTGCAGCACTCTTGTTGCCATGGTAACAACAGCTGCTTGTTCGAGTCCTAGGGCCTCATTTTCATACAAAAACATCGCAAAAAAGAGTGCAAAATGTTTATTTCTCTATCTCATGTTAAATACAAAATTACAAATTGGTGCTTCTAGCATAAATAGTGACATCATTCGTCTTTAATTTGATGCATTCAATTTTCCCTGGGAGTGAATGTGAACACACCAATAGATTATTTATCTTGGTACAGTTTCGGTCATTTTTGCTGTAGGGTAAAACAGGGAAAACGTTTTTCTAAATTTCTCCAAAAGTACCCCGAATCAGGAACTGAAACTTCGCACTTAGTTGGTTATAATATTCTAGTTTCTCAATGTGTAAAACTCTCTGCGGGCCGGCCTCTACTTTTCATAGTGGCAATTCGCGAACGAAGCTCAAAAATTAGATATTGCATATATTTACAATGTTTACATCCAATCTTCTCAACAACAATCGTTTCAGACAAATGAAAAGTCCAAGACTTTGAAAGAATGTTATCTTCTAAGCAATATCCCGAAGAGAAATCTCGCCTCTAGCGTTAATATTTTTAAAAAAATTGATCAAACTTCATGAAGGACTACTCGAGGTAACTACAAACATGTACCTTAAATAGCGTGCATATCGTCCACATTCCGAGTACTGTACCCTCTGTCATGGGAATTTGAGCAATCCGAAATCCTCTGACGATACACCGTTATGCTTGTCTGTCATTTGAACATGTTAAAGTTGGCTGATCCACACGAAACTATCGTAACACCGGTCATTTGTCATAAACATATACGGATACAATGAAATATATGAAGTTCATATATTTTGAACTGCGGTATTAGATACATATGGTGCACGATCCTCGCAGTAGATAGCGCTATTTAAGCAATAGCGAAAATCAGACCTGAAAAAAATCAGGCCTGTACGGGATTCGAACCACTGACCTCTGCGATACTAGTGCAGCGCTCTACCAATTGAGCTAACAAGCCAACTGGGAGCAGGCCGTTAAGTTGATTCGTAATAAACCCGTGAAAGTGATAAATCAGATACAATGAAATATATGAAGTTCATATATTTTGAACTGCGGTATTAGATACATATGGTGCACGATCCTCGCAGTAGATAGCGCTATTTAAGCAATAGCGAAAATCAGACCTGAAAAAAATCAGGCCTGTACGGGATTCGAACCACTGACCTCTGCGATACTAGTGCAGCGCTCTACCAATTGAGCTAACAAGCCAACTGGGAGCAGGCCGTTAAGTTGATTCGTAATAAACCCGTGAAAGTGATAAATCAGATACAATGAAATATATGAAGTTCATATATTTTGAACTGCGGTATTAGATACATATGGTGCACGATCCTCGCAGTAGATAGCGCTATTTAAGCAATAGCGAAAATCAGACCTGAAAAAAATCAGGCCTGTACGGGATTCGAACCACTGACCTCTGCGATACTAGTGCAGCGCTCTACCAATTGAGCTAACAAGCCAACTGGGAGCAGGCCGTTAAGTTGATTCGTAATAAACCCGTGAAAGTGATAAATCAGATACAATGAAATATATGAAGTTCATATATTTTGAACTGCGGTATTAGATACATATGGTGCACGATCCTCGCAGTAGATAGCGCTATTTAAGCAATAGCGAAAATCAGACCTGAAAAAAATCAGGCCTGTACGGGATTCGAACCACTGACCTCTGCGATACTAGTGCAGCGCTCTACCAATTGAGCTAACAAGCCAACTGGGAGCAGGCCGTTAAGTTGTATCCAAGTTCATTGTATCCAAAATGTATAAAGCGATATCCTTACAACTCTTCAGTTTATTAATAGGCAAA